ATTTTATATGTTCTTTTGGAGAGTAAAAATATATTGGTTTAGATCATTATAAACAAAATAAAATATATAAATGTATCAGTATAAGTATGTTTTTTTTTTCTTTTCTTTTCTTAGCAAGCGCTGCCAACGAGGCATGGAAGTCCGTTCTAGATTTTGTTACTTGGTAACAAACAGCAGAATGCTTGGATACTGTATTTCTGGGAAGATGCAGTAGAAGAGAACAAAAAAAAAACACAAACCCAAATCGCCCGCCCAAACCCATATCGCCCACCCCCACCCCCAGTTTTCAACGGGAGAGAACTCTATCCCTCAGAATGGAAACAATGGACACACGCCAACAATCATGCACACACAAACACACACAAACACACACAAACAAACACATACACAAACACGCGCATACATTCATATTCATGCACAGACACACTCTCACGCGCAGGCACACACATACACATACGCGCACACACAGCACACCTACACACACATAAGTGGGACGTTGGGGGTTGGACGATGTGGGGGCGGATGGCTTAGAGGGCTTCCTGGTAGGTTTGGGGACTGGTGCCAGGGGGTCGGTGAGTGGTGAGTAGCAAGCCGGTCGGTGTTGGTCTAATTCGGTGGGTTTAAGAGGTGCTTCAGGGGTTGGGGGTATCTTTTTTTTTTTTTTTTTTTTTTTTTCCCCTAGGGCCACGTGTTCCACACCCCGCGCATCAATTCCATTTTTCCAAAAAGCGCCGGAGCGGCCCATTTTCGCGTTTAACGCGAATTCAGCAGGATTTTTCTGAATTTAACGGGATTTTTTTGAATTTAACGGGATTCAATGGGACTTTAATTCCCCCATTCCCCGTTAAAAAGACACAGCGCATTCTGCTGCACGCAGATCGAACAGGCCGCTTACATGCTGTCCAGCCTTGGGGCCAGCATCTTGCATCTCTTGAAACAACGTACGAAGAGATTCAACATTAGCTACCGTTGTTCTTCAATTTGGCCACATGTCGTTATCACTCCCCTCTTCTTAATCGGCAAAGAGAGTGATAGAAATGGGGTAGAAGAGATGGGGAATGGAGCAGGTCAAGATGGACGCACGCAAACAATTCCACACAAAAGTCATTCTCACAAAGGAGTTTGCCGCACAATAAACTTAAAAAGACAATAGCAAATTCCACGGCCTCACTTCAATTTCTTTTCCTACGGCAAAAAAAAGTAAAATAAATAAATAAGGATTCAGATTTTTCTATTTGATCTATTTTCTAATTCTGCTGTTTTATCTATCTGATGACGTTTGTATCTGAGAGTGTACAGGTACCGCAGCCATGGCCAATGTGATCAAGACAACAACACAATTGGTAAGTGGCAAGCATCCACAGAACAGCCCACAGGTAAGTAGAGTCGACCAACAACAACACAAAAATCAATGTGTTAGCTGCCCAGCCTCTTGCTGTCTTCACTGCAGATACTCCAGCTAGACACTAGGACTGATGTGTGGCACTACGGCATAATCTCGTGCCATACCACCCGTCAGTGCACCAAGTGCAAGTGTTGGTCCCTCGCCAATATTCAAGGAAATGGCAGCACGCGCCTCCTGCCACGTGTCACCCCTAGTCTGGCTAATGCAGCACCTCCATGGAGAATGCCACGCCAGCGTCAATGGCCAGCAAGGCCGTCAAAAGGTATGCCACATCAGTACCGCACTATCTGCCAACCCATTCATCATTGGTATGCCACGTCAAATAGAAGATACCGTTGGGATATGGAAGTACCACGTCAGCAGATGAGTTGCAACACAGGTAAGCGCCACGTCAGACAATACCCCGCTGAATGTTGGATGCCATGTCAACACCCACGTGCCATGCCACGTAGGCAACGTTCCCAATGCCATGTCAGCAGTCTCCTTCCCCCACTCTCTCTCTCTCTCTCTCTCTCTCTCTCTCTCTCTCTCTCTCTCTCTCTCTCTCTCTCTCTCTCTCTCTCTCTGTGCACGATCGTCCAGCGCCACGTCAGCACCGCAGCCGACGATGCTTTTCACTGGTCTTCAATCGTCACCTCAGCAACAATGCACCACGTTGGCAATGTCGTCGTCTTCAAGTCCACGTCATCATCTTCGTCACGTGTGCGCGCACGTGTCAATGTCCAGATCGCGATTATAATCGCGCGTGTCTATAAACGCGATTCAATCATCATGCCGCGCCCCCCTTTACTTACCTCGGCGTGTCAAGGTGTGCAACAGCAGATTGCGACGAAGAAGGTAAGCTCTGATACCAAATTGTAATGAACCCAACGAGGAGAGAAAGTCGTCAAGTGTCGAAATACAAGAGGTCTCAGCAGTGATTAATGTCTCCAATAATCATGAGATGTGATCTGTAATACAATGCCTCGTAACCAGAAGACGAAGTAGACAGGAGGGAGAACACGTCGAAGAGGAGGTAGATGGATCTCCCTCAATCTCCACTTCTTCTTCGGGGGTCTCCCCACCTCCACATCAGCAAACAATATCCCAGAAACGAGTGTGACGATATCTAATCACAGCATAGTGCCATGTAGGCACAGATCTTTCATGAAGACGTCTCTGCAGCGCGGAATGTCGACAACATCAACAGGTAAGTTTCCCTCTCTCTCACTCAATCAATCCCACAATTCCTGATCTCCCTGCTTGTCGCATCCCCAATCTGTGTCGAAGACATTGTGGCATGCGCCACATCAGCAATGCCAAAGACAGCGTGGCAAGAGCCACGTCAGCATCCAAGAAGACAGTTGGAGCCAGAGGCAGAGAGGTGCCAGCATGCAAAGCAGCAGTCTCGCATTGTTGCCGCACAGTACAAGCGTTGTGCCAGCGTCAAGCAACAAGGGCAAGACTGAATGTCGACCCCCAAGCGCCACGTCAGCAATGCCAAAGAAACCGTCGCAAGAGCCACATCAGCATCCAAGAAGACAGCTGCCGCCATAAACAGAGAGGCGCCAGCACGGTGCCAGCGTCAAGCCAACGCCGTGGCAGCGTCAAGCAGCAAGTGCAAGACTGAATGTTGACCCCGAGAGGCTGGGTCGATAAATAACGTTGATGCCATTGACCAGCCTCTGGTCTCTCACGTGCATAGGCTCAGATTGACTCACAGGCGACGGCCTGGATCTCATACAGTTCCAGACTTCCACTTGGACCAAATGCTGCCTGGATACCTGCGTACAACCAAGTCTGTGTGTCTGAATGGTGGCCTGGACTGGGTCCGTGAAGACTTTGACTCGTGAGCCTCAGCATCTCGAGTTACAATTGACTTTAGTTAACTGTCAGGCATAGGGCCTCTAAAGCCTCATTTCAGGGGCTCTGTTTCCCACGATCGGACGCAGGGCCTTGAGGTCGATTCATGGCCTACGGGTGGCCCCCTTGGCCGGCGACATAGGCATATTTGAGCAGGTTATCGCAATTGGAACGATACAGAGAATATTAACATTGGCCCTGCACAAGGGATGACACAAAAAAAAAACAGAAAAAAAAAAGGGACAACACACCATAGCACACACCGTTTACAGAAAGACTAGAAAACCCAACTTCACCTAAAGAGCAAATTGTGTGGCAAGAGAACAGAACAGAAGGGAAACAGAAACAGAGATCAATTCAATGAATTTGGGAGATGAGGAGAAACACATCTATACATTTCACAAAAGGTTTCTTCGTTTTCTTGTCATACCATCGCAAGGCAGACATGAACTTGCTCAGAAGATTGTTCAAATTGTGATGTAGTTAATGAACAGCAACGAACTGCTGCTTGTAACCGAACGAGCAGATTCATAATACAACCACAGTAATACTATCCAAGTCTAGAGTTCTAAATTCCGTCACCAATCCAACCTCACTCCCGCACCCTATACACCTAAATAGTACATTTTCTGTACCACCACCATAATTCATCGAATTCCATTCCTTTGAGACACTATATAATATATATAGCCTATAGGACTGAACGGGTCTTCCACCGCAGCAGATAACCACAACACAACATCAATTCCACGCCCCTGAGAAAGGTCTGCTCTTCGCCCCGCTCTTCGCCAAGAAAGCATGGATTCTCAGTGAAAACACAATCAATTTCAATTTCAAATTTTCAGTCCGAATTTAACTTTCACGCTTTGCTTCAGAGATCAGTTGTCCCAGCTAGCAGTTCGTCCTCAAAGCCCGCATGACTCCTCAGCCAGAACATGATAAAAAGACTACCGGAGGCACTACGATTACATATGTAACACAATGTCAATCAAACTTGTACAAAGCCGTGAACGCCATCCAGACATATGCCCGATCACTTCTCGCCAGATCGGTTAACGATTCCGACATGCGACGTGACAACTGGGACCGCCACTTTCTTCTGCTCAGCCACATCCTGTTTGTATCTGGAAGGAAGGACGAAGGAAGGGCGGAGGAGGTACAAATCACCTACCTACCTACAACGCTTGCAACACAAATTCAAACTTAGCGAGCAACAGTTTGTCAGAACTTCCATCTCACAGCAGCGACCAACACATACACAGCGGGAACATAGGTGTGCAACACGATTATCACAAAGACAGACCAACAGCAGATCCTCGCCTGCAGTGCCCGACAGCCGATCCTCCACTGCAACCTGCTCCTCAGGACACTCGAGCAAGCAAGAGCTTCACCCTCTCCTGCAGAGAGCCACAAAACGATAATGATGATTGCCAACAAATTATTGGTCATGACAATTGAGCAAGCAAGAGGTTCAGTCGGCCCTGCACCAAGCCATGGAACAATAACGCAAATTCCAAACAAATTATAGGTCATGACAATTGAGCAAGCAAGAGCTTCACTGCCACAAATGGTTACAAACAAGGTAGGTTAGTGGGCCTCGCTCCACTACACAACACTCTATTTGCATTTGGAGTCTTTTTGGACGCTTTCCAGACCAGGTGCAGTCGGACAAGACTTTTGAGTGGATCGGTTCCAGAAAGCGTCAAAATGCATGTAGAGTGTTATGTAGCAGAGGGAGGCCCAGTATCGACGACTCCCTTATATCGCAATAATGCCTTATCCTCCACATTTCAGAATCCAACCGTAGCATCCACTTCTGCAAGGAAAATGAGCAATAGCGCAATGACATAATTACAGCATGCAAAATCACAATGAAAGCCAGAGTGTCGAATATTGTCCAGAAAGCAGAAATGCACTGATATCACACCAAAGGAGAACCAAAGCACCGATCTCAATTGTCAATGACAGCATATGCTCTCGCCACCACCAACATCTTTGAAGCTACCTCCCATCGGCGCTCAGCGCCCAGACTATGATCCTACAGCTACCTATCAATGACAAATCAACTGGTTGACGTCCGCAGCAGCAACCTAAGTACACGCAGATGTCGACCTTGTACACCACCTCCATGACCAGGTATGTGCCCTCACATGTTATCCCCCATCTCTCTCTCTCTCACCCTCATCTTCTTCACCCACATCTCCACTACACACGAAGACCATCACCACCACCACCACCGCTGACCTTCTCCAAGCCCAGCCCGGCTATGTGGGCTGGCTATGGCGCTGCCTTCATGCGGAACCCTCCTAGCGTCTGCGCTCACTTCAAAGCGCTAGCGAGCTCTCGCTCCACCAGCACTGCCGCATGCACTGCCAGGTGCCTCAATGATTCCACACGGCCTGGCTGCTTTCCTATATGGAGAGCAGTTGGGCTCTCCTCCTTCTGGGCTGGGGCGTGTGCATTGTCAGTAGCTTCCAATTCTCCCACAGTGTCTGTGACTCTGTGCCCAGGCCAATTCAGACACTGGCCTGGGACCGAATTGGTTAGGCACGCCCAACCACCCAGGCATAAACGTGCGGTGTTCCCTGCATTTTCCCATGCTACTGGAAGAGATTAGAAGGCTGAGGGATATTTCTGATTCTCATTAGCAAGGCAGATGTAACCAACTGGCGAGTGGTAACTGTCTGGCGCCCACCAAAGCTTTGCAAAATTGATGAACCCAGGCCTCATTGAGATTCAGGGGCCCGCCTTCCCTTAGGGCGGGCTCACGCTGGTTGTAAGGGGCCATCACGGGCATGCAGGCGGTGCAAACCCTCGGACTTCTTCCTTTTTTAATTACTTTCCAAAATTCCACTGAGGCTGGTTTGTCCTTCTATTTTTTTCTGCCTGGTTGACATTTCACAACCCCACCGCAACATCCACCTCCGTATTTTTCCACCTTACTTTTCGAGTTTTCAATGTCAAATTCCAGCTGTCTTCTCATTCCTTATACACCCCATGCAACCACTGTACTTCTCGCAGTCACACAATATCCACTCATCAAAGCATTCTGCAATGAATATGAGCGAGAGCGATAGACAGAAACCCAAGTTGCAAAATCACGAAGTAGTCCAGATAGTCATGCACCAAGCAGAAAGCACAATGCACCAAGATTCCATCCACATAAGAGCAATACAAAGAACTCAAGTGCCAGTGCCGACACTCCTGGTCACATCAACACTGTGTCCAACGTCGCTCCTACTGTCTGGCGCTCAGCGCCCAGCCTACTCTACTCAGCATATCTAGCCTATCTACGTTCAAGGAACTGGATCACACCGAAGTCGAAGACCAATGTACGTGACGTCAACACCAATGCCGATCAACAGCATACACCTGGTACGTTCTCTCTCCTCCCCTCATCACCCCTTGATCACCTCCTCATGTGCCTCCTACCCGTAGACCAGCATCGCCATCACCTGCATTGCGCCCCTGCAGCCCGGCTATGGCTGCTGTGCGCCCACTGCCTCGCAGCACCCCTCTCACCTCAGCGCCCGTGCATGCGCCTGACCCGCAGCGCCCATGCAGACACTAGCGCAGCAACGCAGCAGCGTGTCCGCATTGCCTGCCAAGGCCAGACCGCCACCCTCAGTGGCTCACACTTTCTTTATGGAAAGTGTGTCGCCGCTGGCTGTTGTGACCAGGCGTGTGTGGGGGGACCCAGTAGCTTCAGTTGGGCGCCAAGTGTCTGCGCCTCCAGTTTCCAAAACTGGACTGGGCCTCGCGCAGTTAGGCAAGTCCAGGCAGACACCCCGCCTCCAAATGTTTGCAGCATTCTAATTGGCTCGCAGCATATGTTTGACGACAATGCTGCTTGCTCATTGACCCGTAACCAGCCCATGATGTGTCGGCCTCACACAGCGTGTGCCCTGGGCTCAACTGTACAGCGCAGCCCTTTGCTTCTGGAAAGAGCCTGGAGTCTCACATTGCTCTGTAACCAACTAGCGTGCTGCAACTGTCTAAGTGTTCTGGGCTGCGGCCACCAGCAAGCCTCATGCCCACCCTAAGTGAAGGCAGGCCTGAATATACACGTGAGGCCTGTTCTCGACAATTTTT